GTCCATAAACGTATAAAAATATTTTCACTAAAAAAAGATTCTTTGGGCGTAAAATTTTTATTCGAAACTGTTGCCTGTCCGCGGAAAAACGACAAAGCGTACCAGGTATCGTGCGGTTCTTTATTTCTGTTTATCGATCGACGGCAGAACCAGTATGTGTACTGTACGGTGTTTCGCGTAAAACGGGCAACGCGCAACAAAGAACACGAGGAGGGTTCGTACGGTAGTTTCGACTCGACGCTATTGTAATTACGAGGTACATACCTCGGATAAAAACGGACTTTCCGCCACGAGGTGTGACGATCGCGCGAGACAACAATAGACACAATATCCGACATCGAAGAAGCATGGTAGAATTTAGCACATGTCGAGGTTAAAAATAGAAGCCGCGCTCACAGACGGTGCCACTCGAACGCGCTTAAATTCCTCTTTAATGAGCCTCCGTGCGAATTATTCGTAATTGTTTCGACCACCTAACAAGCAGCAGGGCTGCGTCAACACCTGCGATTTCCTACCGTAATCCAATCAGTACTTGTGACCAGACGAGTAACATCAGGTGATGTTCGGAATAACGGGTGACTTTTTTTTCGACAAGTCGTCTAAAGAATCTAATTCATCTCGGAACTATAATATAATAATGTTCACATTCAAAGTGTGGTCAAAATAGTCGATAATTCAGATTACAGAACCGTAAAGATCCGAACGACGGTCCCGTAAGCGTGATTAGACCGGCTTTTTGCAGATTGTAAAAGGCACGATTTGCAAGAGAGAGGCTTGCGCAGTCGATAGAATGCGCCGACGAAAAATCTCCCGATTTGCGTTTGTCATAACTAGCCTGAGGCGATCATTAAAGCAGGTCCGCGGCTCCAAACCGTTGCGCGCATGTTGGTTTCCAGTTTCGCTTTAATCTCGTATACCGTATGCAACATAGCGGCTGAGAAATTATGCGGCAATCGCCTCGTTGCAGTTGCGGCGCAGCAGCTGTGTCATACCGAGTGCATTGCCGAGTGCATTTTATTGCAGTTACGCTTGCGATGCATCACATGAGAGTCACGCGCAATATCGCAGACTACGCAAATTGGAGCAATAAAATGAAAATTCACAACTTTTGCTGCGAAATTATCTACTTTGTCAACAATTAGTTCCCCGCAAAATTGGTGTCAACCATAAAAATATCGGATGCTTCGAAAAATTGTAGAAATTGCAAGAAAAAAATACAATGCAAAAATAAACAAATGAACGAATGAGTCTCACACATTTTCAGGGAACTTCAAATACGCATACGCGCAATACGTCTATCGTTCGTAGCCATCACCGATCACCTCTGCTCGCCAACGGCGATCACCTCGAATTAATATCGGTTTAGAGCGCTGTTACCTCGATGCTGGCAGCCAAAGTCGAGAGTCACTCTCATAACGATCGAGCGGACGAAACAATGACGGTATAAACTGCGCCGCGTGCGAGATATCCGACCACCCGGAATCTCTTGACAGCGCGCACACGCTGCACTCGAAAGCACGTCGCACTCTACTGACGGATGGACGGTGCCATAAGCGAATCGAATGCCGCGGTGAACCGCTACGTTGCCGTCGTGCCCGTCGAATGGCGAGAGAAGGAAATACATCCGACACATTTTTAACGTATTCAATATTGTAGTAGTCGCCGATGACCAGCTGTGTGTGTGTGTGTGTGTGTGTGATGTACATATATATATACTCTGACATACCCCGAAATAAAACATAGCTAAATATATGTCGGCAATCGCGTGTAAAATCAATAAATGAAACCCAATAAATGATGTAACGAATGTATCGACAACACCGATAAACAATATTGCAATTATATTTTTAAGTATTTTCAATCGTTTTAACGCAATTTTATTAATACTATATCTAAAAAAGTGTTATAATTCTAATCTATTTAAACCTTTATTTATTTAATATTCTGTGTTTTTATCATATAATTAATGAATAAAAATTTTCAAAAAGAAGACAAAACAATTGTATAAATAATTCCTCTGAAAAATTACAGTCACAATATTTTTCGTTTATAGCGTTAAGATATTTGTTAAAAATTGCAATTTACCGTAACATTGTACACGCAATTTGTAGTTGCATTTTTGCACAGTTTACTGAAATTCGTACATCGTATTTTAACGCGCTGGCAGACAACTTATGCGAGCTCCGAGCCCTCGGACACTACCGTTAGCGCTTTATTAAAAGTCGTACGTCATTGATCAAACTCTCTCACTCCTCTGTGATCTCACGACCTAGCTGCCAGCAGGTGTCAGTGAAGGATACCGGGTGTATCAAAAAAGATCGGAAAGTATCATTCCATCAATCCAATCTATTCTATGCTTCAATTCCTGAAAAGACGCAGCATCTTTCGCCACGAATCGAAATAATTCACGATATCTGTATCATCGAGATACGAATCGCCAACAATAAGCTAAGTTATGTGTGTCGACGCGACATATCATTCTTTTTTTCATACACAAGACGCGCGTAACGGTTCACGCGCACATAGACACGTACACGCATACGGCAGCATTAATCGACGTCGAACTTCAACAACGCTTTAATGGCACGACTGACAGTTTAGTGACTGAAGTGGTGCAATCATTAAACCGGGCACTGCGACAGCATCGTCGGTGGCATTCTACCGGCGAGGGGCAAAGAAAAAAAAGGATAATGACCCACCTCATCGCGGGAAGTGCATCGATTAGGCCGCACACAATCCTATCCTATAAAGAATACGCTTTCTTTTTTTTCTTTCTTTTTGAGTGATGTATCGATCGTCTTATGTTCAGGAAAGTGACTTTAAAGTCGCTCGGAGTAAGAAACCTTTGACGCTGACATTTATACGTAACCTTCGAAAATAATCTTTCATGAACTGGAAAAGTAAAGCTGCTCGATTATATAATATTCATATTTCTATTTAATTTATTAATATTCCAATTAAAATTACTGTTAGAAATGATATCGAATTGATTTTATTTCAGAATGACCGTGCGTGAAATAAACGTCAGCTGCAGCTTTAGAACTGTAAGAAAGACAGCGACGGCACACGTGACTGCACTTACTAATCGATAGTAGTCACACAATCTGCGACTCTGTGAAAACGGACGACTAGTATAACATAATGTAATCACAGCGGCAATCCGATACGACGTATATTCGACGAGGGGCAAGAAGACTGTTGGCCGGTTCGCCTCCGCGAGAATGCCGATACAGTCGCGCCGTTTCAAAATTCGACGATCCGTTCTCGCCATAATCGCGGTCGCAGTAGGACGCGAGGAAAGTACGACTCAAGGTCGAATCGAGCGTCGATGATCATTTCTAGATCTAAGAAACTGAATTAATGCGAGACTCCAGTTTTAGACGAGCAGCAAACGCTCAAGTTCTTGTGCAGAAACAACGAGTCATCGATCGATGACTCGCGTTCGACGAAAGAAAATCAAATATTAAAGGTGTTATCTTGAATAAACGATGTGGAACGGACGAGTGTTACTCCAAATAAATGCATATGATTCAAATTATAAAAGTAGAATATTAAATAAATTTAATTCAACCTAGTTTGTCGCTTTCAATATTCATGCAAAAATATATAAGATTTCTCTACATTTCTCGCTCCAAATAATTCACCAATCGTATCGAGTGCCGTTATAACCATGTTGAAATAAACACACCTGTACCATCCAATAGATACAAAGGGACAATGACGAGACATGTATTCAGGTATACATTGGCCAAATCGAAGTGGAAGAATTCGCAAGCTTCCCCAAATGATGAGGATACTTGAAGAACGTTCTGATTTTCATTCCTACGTTTTATATTTTCGAAGTATCACGAATATGCACGACCATCCTAACCCTAGAATTTACAAGTACGACCGATTTTAATACCTGAGACGAGGTGTTCTCCGAGGACCGTGCAAATATAATTGATACCGATCCTGGTCATTCGAACGTGCTGGCGACACAAACAAGAGGACACTGGCAAGCTCCTTGCGGGCCCGTGTGTCCTGGGACGCGTGTTTACCTGGCGATATTCCATAAGAACCCCACCCTCGCTTTAGCGCCCACGAGCGCTCGTACAGGCAACGAGCGATTCGGAAAACCGACAGCAGGAAGGAAATCGATGAGGAAAGGGACCGGGAATCGTCACCGCAGCGAGACTTGTCATACTGTGCGTGTACGCATGCACGCACGCGGGATATTAATAATATTTACTCACGATATACGGGCGTTTCACGGATGTCGGTCTCCAGGATGGCCGACGAACGTTTCCACGCGACGATACCGGATGCCGCACACGCACTCACTCACTTCGCACAATTAAGCAATCCTGATAATGTACCCCGCAAATCTCTCTTCACTCTACTACCTGCTCCACGCGATTACAACGGCACCCGTCAAACGCGACACGCGCCCGCCATATTGCGACGACAACATTAGCGTCACCTGCCGGTGTAGCGCTAAAGCTGCAGCCGCGCAAGTTTTAAACACATCTATGTCTAAGCATGGTTAGATTTAATCCACTTTAGATAATTTATAATTTGCATCAAAGTTCAAAATAAAAATTTATTTATAATTTTATGTAATACAAAACATTAAAAAAATCAGAATATAAACATACAAAATACACATCACTGATATATATTTAGTATATGTGAGTATTGTAATTTTTTAAACGCTTCCTGTATTACACAACGTATATAAAATTATAAATAGAATTTTATCTCCAATTCTATTGCAAAAGGTAATTAATTTAAAATATATTTTATTATTTTAAACAGCGTTTATTGTGCTCTAATATAAATTCTTTTTTAAACAACTAAAAGGAAAAAAATTATAATATTGATTCGATGAATAAAAGAATGATTAATAGAAAAATAAAGAAAAGTTGGAGATTTTCGCGGAGCATCAATAACACTATATTCCCGCTACTTTCGATCGGGTAAATGTTTTCCACGAAGTTAATACGAATTGCTGAGACCACGTAACGCCGCCAGATCGCCAGTTGCTGCGTGATATCCAGTAAGATATCGGAGGAACTGAGATGCATGACAAGAGCTGATATCAGCTGTTTTCTCTAAATTCGGAGTCACAATTTTGTGGTACGTAGAATCGTGTTATTGATACGAATCGGCACTTGGCAATTGTGATATTCTTTTAATACTATTTTTTTCTATTATTGTTCACAGGATACACGTATAATACATAGCATGGCTAACCACGTAAATCGAATACATTGAATAAATCGACAAATATCGCATTTATTCGGCAAGTGCAACGCGTTGCCTATCCGGATACCATCAGCTATTGCACCGAAATCGTAAAACACAACACAAATCTCATCCGGAAGTCTGCATCGTTAAATTGACATTCAAGAAAGGTTAAGTCGCCGGTTGCAAATGATATCACGTGGATTCAAGAATTTAAAAACAAAAACAGGATAGTATAGTGTTGAAAATAATCATAAATCGTAAAAACTTTAAGATTTCTCACTAAGTAAATTAGCGGCGTGCGTGAAGGAAATGTGATGTGTGATTGTAGTTTACATATCAGAAAAAAAGTTCTGGTACTTTAAAATAAGATTAAAGGATTCTCTTAAGAAGATATAATGATAACTATATATTTACGTATAGTCAGTGTTCTGATCTAAGAAGTTATAGCTTTAGCGTTAAGAAAAGAGAGGAGAGTGAATTTATAGATTTATATAAATATATCGGCATTTGCAGATAAATACTATAAATTTTTTATCGATTAAACTTAACAAAGATAGGGAACTATGGCTTTGACGGATCAAAAACATGGCTTGTTCTCGGAGCACATATTTGCTCCTAGTTTTCAGGAAGAATTCAAAAAGCACTGGGACTCTCAAAGCGATTATAAAAATACCAACCTTGAAGTCATATCGAAACCCTTTAGAGTCTGTAGAATATCAAATTTCATAAAAGAAAAAAAGTTTCTGAAAAGCTTGATAAACGAATTGAAACAACTTAATTATGAACGTCAATCCCTTGATTTGTATCAGTTTTCGCGAAGTGATGATCTGTCTGACACCCCTAGCAATCACATCCAAACATTGTACAAATCTTTTCAGACAGATCTTGCGTTGTGGATGGAGCGTAATACAGACATTAAGCTAAATGCAAATATCACTATGTCGAGTGCTTGTTATTTAGAGACAGACTATTTATTATGTCACGATGATAACATGATCGACAGAAGAATAGCTTTTGTATTATATTTGTCGAAAGATTGGACGGAGGAACACGGAGGCGCGTTAGATCTTTTTGATACGGACGAGCGTGGTTCGCCTAAAAACGTTGTGAAATCATTATTTCCGGAATATAATTCTCTTGTCTTCTTCGAAGTTGCGAACAATTCCTACCATCAAGTGGCCGAAGTGAACAAAGACGAATGTAGGTTATCAATTAATGGTTGGTTTCACGGTCCTTTAAATGAAGATTACAAACCGTCAAGATCCATACCACCAGAGAATTTTATAAAACCGAGCGCTGTCGAAACACAACTAAACTCGTGGATCTCCGAACATTTCCTAATACCCAAAATAAAGGCGCAGATTCAAGAAGAAGGCGAGAAAGAGTCTTACACATTTCTAAAAAACTTCCTGAAGAAACCGATGTATCAGCAAATTGCAAAGGACTTGGAATCGCAGGATATCAAGTGGCAGATGGTTGGTCCCGCCGACATACGTCGCTACGAGATAGCTGATGAACAAACTTTGCCGGTGGCGTTAAAGGAGTTTTTTGATATGTTTAAATCTATCTCTTTCTGTGAGCTATTAAAAGACTACACGGCACTGGATCTGGTACCTAGGAAGAAAACTACAAAACCTAAAATGACGATAGAATTACAGAGATGGTCGAAGGGCTGTTATACACTGTTATACGATAGATTTATGTTGAAAAACATTACAAATGCAAATTCGGCGAAGACTGCTCAACTCGATGACGATGACGCGAATATCAAAGCATTGGCGAGTGCCGAAGGATCGACTTCAAAGTCTTCGACTAGCAAGTGCGAAACCTCGAACGAGGACGACGCCTCAGACAAAAGCGAACTACATCAAGAATTGAAGAGGAAATCGATCAATTCTGACACAGAGGGAGATTCGTCTTGTACAAAAAAGGTTAAGTACTCCGACATTCAAACCGATGTCAGCATAAAGCGTCCACATAAAGACGAGCATGACACAGACGTGAATAAAGCTTTACCATCTCCGGAGAAGGAACTGTCAGACACGTCGAGTAATGACGGACGGAATTCCATCGACGCACGTTCGGATACCGAGTACGTACTCGACGTGATAATGCAGTTTCACACCACGGATGACGACGGTGCACCGAAAACGGAAGATACGATAGATTATGTAGATGCTGACGAAGAGGGCGGTATTTTAATTCAAGTACCGCAAAGGGATAATCATCTTTGTCTGGTTTACAGATCATTGATGATACATCGGCTTCAGCGGTATCTAAATCATCACTATAAAGGTTACGGTTACAATTTAATATGTACATATTATGAGTAGTATTCGTACCAAGTATAATATTATCGATCGTAAAATCGATATTCTGTAAAGAAAAAAGTTAGGAAGGAATAAAAAAGTCTGTTTTTTAAGTCGCGTGTAACATAATTTGTTATGTTAAATATTTTCAAATCGCGACGTGCAATATTTGTTTTGTGAGCGTAGACACAGTGAAATGTAAATATTACATCTGTATTTTAATAAATTCATCAGTATTCGCACGCACCACGCAAAGCAATTCTTTTATCTTTCCATGTTAGGGAAAAACATGTTGATCACGAGTGAAAATAAAGAATTTGGGCAATCAATTTAGATATCTCGAGAGAAAACACATAAACGGAGAACACTAATGACGGCAAACCTGAAATTTCAGTAATGCAGATAATGCTAGAACTACTAGAAAATATTTCTTTTCAATTCTTAAAGCTTAGCATGTTAAAAAAATTATCGGTGTATTATCGGTTTATATTTATTTTGCAATAAGTTTACTAAATTGGAGATTAAGATCATAACGCAGGAAACACACATCGTTTATTGAATGCGGTATATACATGACGTAACAAAACATCATTTCCACTTGTGAAAGTCATAGCAAACGTTTTCATGCAGTCGTGAAGTCGGATGCAGGGAGTTGCGCTGAGGGATGTCCGAGAGAAAAGTTTGCCAAACTGAATTCGCACCTTGAATACTGCCATTTCTAATCCCGAAACTTTTTACGGAAACTTTTCCTTCGTACATCTTTTTGCGAATAGTGCGCGCGTCGGATAATAATTGGGCATTCGTGATTTGAATGTGCGATAAGGAAACGTAATGCACACGCTTCGTCTTCTTCTTTGCAACATCAACGCGATTCTCTGTCGGTCGTAAAGTCTCGAGCAACTCGAGCTTGCTGTGGGAGACAGGAAGGAAAAAGAGAAGATTGACAGTAAAATGAAGGCTTACGTTCTGCGGATGCGCTGGTGGTTACACTCTGTTTCAGGTCCCTGCACTTGAATCCTGGGTCGTGACAAGTTCTGTTGTCCTGCTGCACCGTGCTCCTTGGCGGCGATCTTCACCGTAACCTGACACGTAATAAATCGTTTTATAGTGCGAAAACACTGCGACGAGACAAGGGTCGTAATTTCGCGAGTGGGCGGTTTAGAGGCGCATTGAAGGAGTTCAGTTGTTCATCGAACTGAATGGGAAACTTTATCCGTCGCGTTCCTCTCGTCTATTTCGAGCGATCGCACCGGAAGCTATTAATGGGCGCACCTTCGATTCAGTTCCGTTCCGGGTGAACTCATTGGACATTCTTTAAGTGATCGTAAATTCGTTCGTCTGACTGATTATCGCTACAAGAGATTTAGATGATCGGTGGCTTGTACTCTCTCAGAGTCTGCATTTTCTTCAAGAAGAATCAAATTATCGTGAAATATATTGTTATCCTCTCACGCATATGAAACACGCTTGTGACAACTAATATCACTCGCCGCCGCTACCATTCGATAAATCATCTGCAATTGAGCCATCGACGATCCGTGCGCATTGATAAAGTACTTCCTTTTATTCCATCGACAAGCTCGTTATTCGCGATTAGACTGTCGATTATTACGTGAGACGGGACGTTTATGCAGATCGTTGCCCGCAGATTGTTAATCACCTGGGACGTGGAGGCAATCCCGGCCATTCGTTTCCGCAACTCGTTCAATTGCAACTCCTGTTGAAAGCTGGCATCGCTCTCCTGCGACTCCTCCCGTTTACCGGCCTCGATCGATTCCGTCGAGTATTCAACTTGTACCCACGGACAAATCGTCGGCGATGATTGTAGCGAGCCCTTGCTTCCGGGTCGGGACAGGCGCGGGGAGAGGCGTCTCAATAGCGACACGAGTTTCGATCTGAAGCGATACTTCTATCATTCACACACCGACGATATTATACGACAGACACGTGAGCGCGAAGCGAAATGTAATTAAAAATTTTAATTATGTCAAAAGCATTGTAATTATATTAAAGCTATTTTTAATTTAAAACAATTTGCGCACAAATAGCGTACTGTCTGTAAGGTCGAAAGTTTCGCAATTTCACCGTGCAATTTCATTTTTTTTTTTTCCTACGTATATCAATGTATTTTTATTGTACTTTGAATTACCATAAAAAAGAAGGCGAAACTCGCGCAGTATAAATTTCAGAATCCACCAACTATGCCAAACGAAAGCTATCTCCACGCTGCATAGTTTTCAGACTTTGCTAATTATTTCGCGAATATAAAATCAATTTATCCTCTTTTCCGCGGCGAGCTGCATTTCCGCCGAGTTTTACATTTCCATCGCATGTCTTCCAGGTAAACATCGTTATCCGTTTTTTTTTTTTTTCAGCAAATTAATTACCCGTTTGCAACGCAACTCGCGTTTTCTCGCGTATCCTTCTCTCAGCACGACTCTACATTCGACGCTAACATCCTCCCTTTATCATTATCTACTGATTTCTTCTCGACCCGAGTGTTTACCGTTATACTTTTCTGCTTGTCTATCGCGCGAAACGGCGGCCGCTGCGCAACGAATGAACTTATCATAAATTATTTGCTTTCGTTGCGTGAACGAAACCGGTAACGCGGGCTTGCACGCGAAGCGCGCGGACTTTAGCATACTTCAGCATACCTCGTGCTCGGCGTTTGAAGATGATCGGAAGTGAGAGGCGCGCTCCTGGAAAGCTGCTCGGCGCTCCGCGTCGTGTCCCCCCAATGCAGCCGATTGGAGCCGAAAGTGACGGATCTTCCTACCCTCCAGTCCAGGCTATTGCTTTGTCTGGCTTGCAGATCTGAAAAATCCGATAGCCGATTGCAAAAAGTTAAACAAAAAAAAAAATTAAACCGTCAATCATATGCAAAAGCCTCCAATAGAATTTAGGTGTTAAAAATGTTGAAAAACTTAAACTCGACTTAAAATTTAAAAGAAATAATACTGGAACTGCGATTGAATAAGTCAGCAGTTCTCGCAATTTGCTAATAAGCTCATGAGTCATAGTTAATAAATCACCTTGCTTATTGGTGCTCTGGCCGACCCTCCAGTCCAAGGAATTACTATTTCTATTCACGCTATAAATGTTATCACAGGATTTTGTGGCAAGGCATGTCGCGTGATGACGACGTCTGAGCAGTCTTGATACTGGTCCCAAGTTTCTGCAAGAATTCGCCATTTCTTAGATCGATCCATTTTATGTCGAGCAAAAAAGGGATATCTTAGAAAGGTTAATGCTTATTATCGAAGCATGACGTAAAGTAATGTATGAAGCGTGATAAAAAAAAATTAACGTTATCGATCAAATATTATCGCGACGAAACCGGTATCACCTCTATCGCGATAAAAAAATATTACGCGAGCGTCTCGCGATTAAAAGCGATCAAAGTGGCAGCGAGAGATACTCACTTCTTGAAGCGTCGCGTCTGTTCGACCGGCGGCTTGTTCTCCGTCCTGCTGGCCGCTTCCGGTTCCGGACAGTAAGTGCCCACTCGCACGTGGGTGTAGGTAGCACGCAGCTGCACCCCGTCCAGCGGCCGGAAGTTGCTCCGTTCGATGGACGAGACGCGGACGATTTCGATCTTCGGCCGCGCCTCACCTCCACTCTTCCTCTCCATGATCGATGAGTCGCCCTCCCGACGAAATCCACCGACGTGCCGAGAGTTCAATTGCTCTCGACCCTATTGCGCGCCCGATGACGGTCCTCCCACATCGTATCTCTCGGCATCACGAGGGGAAACCGCGTCACGTCGAAACCTTCGGCATTTCCTCGCCGTCTCTTATCTCTTTATCTCCTTTTCCTTTTCGCTTAAGACCGACTTTACTATTTCACTCGGAAAACTCGCGACACTTTCGCTCCTGCTCTCTTCACTCACTTTCGCGACACGCTGTGTTCAAGAGACCGGAGAGAGATACGATAGATGTGCGCCGTACACGCGCGCGTGTAAAACTGAAAAACAGTTTCACACTTATCGTCACATCGGCGGCAAAAAAAAGCTGCGAAGATTATCTTGATATGCTATACACGGTGGGCACGGTCTCTTCGATTATAAATATTCCCGGATGATCGATGATCTTCGTCGAGTCTTCGCCCCTCGTCGATGCGCGCACTACGCACACCGCACAACGCAGTATCGCGGATCTCGATTCTCCGGGGATCGCGCACTTGGCAGTTCGAATTTTCGACCTCAGGAATCTTCCAGTGCTTAATATTGCAACAGATGGCTCTATCGGAGTGACAAGTGCGTTAAAGTGGCGTCCACGTCGCGACGCCGTTCCAGTCCGCCCGATTTACGAGCACGCACGCTCCGCTCTCCGCTCATTTCAGTCCGCTCTTCTTTTCCCTCCCCCTCCTCTTCGTCCTTCTCTCTCTTGCTGCGTCGCGACCCAGGAGGGAGAAAAAAATGCGCGGGTCACATTCATTCATCCCACGGAGAGAAGTACGATGTAATTATCTCGCTGCGCGATCGCGACGCTCGCTCGCTCGCGTGCATACACGCCCGCGCTTCTAATTGAATTGTTAATGCGTGTGTGCGTGTGCATGTCCAGCGAACGATCGACCGCCACTTAGATCGCGTCGTGAGATCTCCGTGGCACTTCTGGCACCTCTGGAATTAACGTTTTTGTCATTTCATCGCGTCATTTCACTCACGCAGCCTCACGTTGACATTTAGCGCCTCTTGCTCGGGTTATGTATTTTTTTATAGAAAAAAAAAACAGTTCCGAGAACGTATCGAGCACTTACAAGCTACTTGTTCTTGCTTTTGGCGAGTGGTGATCGATGTCATGGGATTCTGGCACAAATATACCGACACTTAAATCGTCTCCACGTGTATCACCATCCTTAAAAGATGAGAATCAGAGATGAATTGGAGAAATCGATCCAATAATCACGTAACACACATTCAAATAACATCGTCTCACGATGTGACGAAATTCTGACGCTGTGTCGCGCATAATTAATAAAGATAATATATAATAATTAAAAAATTACGGTCATTGGTTGTACACTGTGCAAATTCTGAAGTTTTGCACAGACGAACTTCAAATCTTTCGTTGTAAAAAACCTGCATTGAAAAAAATCTTGATTTATAAGAGACATACGTCTGAAAGAGAGAGAGAATGATTGCATCCTCCTCTCATAACTAACAATTTCCATAATGCTTTGCAAAAACTCGCCGCTTTAATTATGCATGCAATTACATCACGATTCCGCACAGGTAAACCGTGGGCGCGCTTAATTACAATGCTTCTGCTGTGCGCGTATTGTTCCTCGATTGAAAAATCGAGCTCGCGGATATCAGACGTCGCGCTCGGCTACTGTTTGGAACGGTAGCCGCGCGAAGTGAATGTGACTATTCACTATTCACACAACGCGGTCCGTCACGTCTTTTCTCTCGTTTTATTTCTCTATCTAGCACAGCCTCCCTCCCGGCCCATAATGTAACGATGTTCGTCCGTTCGACCTAAATCGCCGCGCGCTGCCACGAATAATGCAAGTCAATCGACGCCGATCGAATCAATTTCGAGCGATGACGACGTCCCCGCGGCTTTTCGCACGCGATATCTCCACGCGAAGGATCTAGCACGAATTCCAGAACCATTTAACAACTTTAATATTTTTCAGTTCTACAAACACCGTCCTCCAACTCTGTAAAAATGTTAGACAACTTTCTTTTCATTCTCACCACGCTGTTCGCGCTCGATTGCGCATTTAATCGCTGACCTGTTTTTGATCTCACATTCATACCTGCGCGATTTTTCCAAAAAAAAAAAACGATCCGCCAATGTCATCACCGTCGTATTTTCGTCGACGACTCGCGAGTGAATGGAAATTGCGCTCAATTAAAGCTTCCAGCATAGTTTGATGAAACAATTACACGGAAATTCCGCCGACTGTCCTTTTCGAAGCCCCGTATGCTTTCGGAAGCCCCGTCGAAGCGTCTCTCTAACTGTCCCAATTCTCCCCTTCGCAGAATTCCATGGCACACTCGTATTCGGAAAGGTCAGAGGAGCGTGTGTGTTCTAAAATCGCGTGTTAAAGGGCTAAATTTATCCGCGAGGACGACACAGGTACGCGGAGGGGGGAGGATCCCGCGTTTTCCACCAGCCTGATCCGTCCAACGTCATCGATTCCACCGTGGAATTTTCTCTATGACGGAAAGAAAGGTCGGCGACACGGCGAAATTGGATTGTAAGCTTAATTGTCGCCACGAGCGCGTCTCGTGCGCGTACAAACGCAATATCGCAAGCGGAATTACGTTACAACGCGTGGCGGAATGCGTGTTTTTCTTCATACAAATGCAAATTACATCACATCGGAGCAAAATCAATACTCAAATATGCGCACGACCAGCTCGCCTCGGGAATAAGATCGAGGCGAACTTGCGCGTGTACGATTCACAACTCACGTTCATATGCGTTTTGCAATTTAAATCGACGCGTTCGCGTGATAAAGATGCTTTACTCAATTAAGTCCAATTGCGTTTTCATCTGTTATTTTTTAATTGGGTCTCGTGCGAGAACTTTCAGATTTTCGAGCGCACTTCGAACGGAGAACTCTTCCGGCTCGGCTATCCTTAATTGAAAATAACTTATCTCGGCGAGTTTCTATTATCTCTGCTCGAGAATCGAACGGTACTACTTTTAACTGCGTCATCGCTGAAAACTGTCGAGGTAGAACGGCAGAATGGAAAAAAGAGGCGAGCGTTTTCTCGCGAGGGTCGTTTAATGTTGCGACGTTTAATCTAGAGGAACGCAACGACATTGAATCGAGCGCTTGTAATCCGTTGTTAGACCGGCGGAGAATGTCTGAAAAGTCGTTCGCAGAATGAAGCTACTATGCCGTACAATTGTAGCCGAGCCGTCGACACGGTGGGTTTAATTCCGACGCTTTTCGACGCGTCATTCTTCTCGTATCTTTTTCCATTTGGCGATTGAAAAGTTTACAAAACAAAAAGCATTCCCGGAGGATTCTAAAGCGAGCTTTTCGATACAAAACAAAAGGTGAATAGAAATAAAAAATATTAGCATTTAAATTATTATAAAAGCTTCATCGGTGAATCTGAAAAATTTTCTGACTTGTATTTCTCTATTCAAATGTTAAGAGAACATGACGAGAGATTCGCAAAACAACTATTTCTCCGTTAAGAGAGATAATTACCGCGGATAGGCTTCTACAAAATCTCGTTGCAGACTATGGGTCTTTTAAAACGGACTGCGAAGCGGTGCAGCGTGAAGAAACGAGTTTGTTGTTGCACGCCGCTTGCGCGCCGTTTGACACTAGAGTGAAAAGCAACTTCGTCGTCGCTATGACGAGGAGATGCAAGACGCGCTAAATTAATGAGTCGCACGAAGGAAGGAGATCATTGGGGACTATTGTGCCAGAGCTGCATTGTGCCTGCATCGATGCGTGGGCGAGGATTTCGAAAGCCGCGTGTCTGACCATGTACGAGCGTTAACTACTGCGCAACGAGACTAAACAACGAGCACTGACACTTGCGCGCGAATGTCACGTCGCTCTTATCAGTCGGCCTTATCGCGGAGGATCTCGAGAACCGTCCGACGACGGTTTTGAGTAAACTCCAAGCCGTGGCGGATCGCGCTGAAACGAGGATAGGGTATACTCCGGCGTATATTTTTAGAGTTAGCCGTATGAAAGTCGTCCCGACAGCTGTATCAATTTTTACGTTTCGCGTTTTCAACTGCGAAACACAGCGGACCGCGACGCGGAAGTAAAATTAGAAAGAAGCGAGGAAGCAAGTCGTTAGCTCGACCGGCGCTCAGAAATAAGCGAAACAACTGCGGTTTAATGTCCATCAACGTTGGTAAAATTAACCGTGAGATATGTACGCGTAAACTGCGAGCAAGCCCGATTTTAAAGGCTCCAAATTGTACACACATAAACACGGGTGCGCTATGTGGTACAAGGATGTCTTAAAATTAGAAAAAGGCGAGGAGCAAGAGCGAAACTGACTGCGTCGGACGGCCGCGGGGTTAATGCCGATCGACGTGACTAGACAACGCCGGTTGAATAAACCAGAAGCTGAATTTTAAAGGTACCAGATATAAAACGGAGTAGCACACTATCCGCGGC